CAGTGTGTGGCTTGATCGAAGATCTATGATCTCCGGTGCTACAAGATGCTGCACGGAGAACAGGTAGCAGGCAGGCATCTAGAAGCCTTACAGCACATCCTCTCAGAGCCCTGGGTCAGCTGGCCCAGTGAGCAAGATTCAAATCCTTGCTTGGAGTCAGGACCTGCGCCAACATGGAAGCATTTATCGATCATGACGTCCAAGCAAGTGATTGCCTTTAAAGAGAAGCGTTCGGCATCTCAAGCGTAGGCAGCTTGCAAACAACAAGAGACACTAAGCCCAAGGTTCACGCAGTGCATGGTGCATGGTGCAACTCTCATCCAACTGCATGCAAGTGCAAACACCACGTCAAACAGTCAGCCAGCCACCTCTGTTTCCACAAGAATGTCAAGGGTGTGTGTGACAAGAGTGTCCTACAAGAGTGGACCAGAGTTTTCCACAAAGTGTGTCCAACAAGAGTGTCCTACAGGAGTGGACCAGAGTTTTCCACCTAGAGATCGATAAAAGGGTGTTTTACACAACAGTGTCATAGAAGGGTGTCCGGCAAGAGTGTCCTACAGGAGTGGACGGAAGTTCTCCACAAGAGTGTCATAGAAGTGTGTCAGACAAAAGTGCCCTACAGGAGTGGACCAGAGTTTTCCACAACAGTGTCATAGAAGGGTGTCCGATAAGAGTGTCCTACAGGAGTGGGCCAGAGTTTTCGAGTGTCCCAAGAGGGTGTCCTACAAGAGTGGACCAGAGTTTTCCACAAGAGTGTCATAGAAGTGTGCCAGACAAGAGTGCCCTACAGGAGTGGACCAGAGTTTTCCACAAGGGTGTCCCACCAAAAGTGGCCTGATTCATTCAACTGAGGATATCAGTGCATGGAATTCAATAATGCTCTACTTTGACCAAGCGCTGGCCGATATCCAAAAAAAATCCCAAATCCAGAACCATCCACAACCCATGAGCTGGCCTGGGTCTCCTTTGATGTCACTCTCCGGTGTCCAAAGACACAAATCCAGTCTCTGCAGAAGAGGAAGTTGGTGTCCTTCTTGAATGTTTTCGCATCCAGGCCCTTCTCCGCATCAAAGCTGAACTCCACGGGAACCTGGATACCAGCTCCTATGGATACTCAGTACGAACCATACTCCCAAAAGACCAGAGTAAAGAAGATATGACCAGATCCATACGGGTTGACCCTCATTAATCTCAGTGCCATTGCCAAGCATTGCCAGGCAAAAGCAAAGAATTCGGTTCCGGTGGCCACAGAAAGGGTGGCTGGTGGGATGGCAAGCGGCTAAGCCAAGAACAGCAGTAGTGAACAGGGTGCCCTAAACTACTCAGAAGACCTAGGGGTGAAAACCCAAAAGATCTAGGTCAAAAAATGTTTCCTGTTGGAAGGGGCACCCTGTTTGGTCAGGACAACCCACTTGGCTGGGTCAAAACCAGGTGTCACTGCTGGGCGCGGACATCGATCGATGCAGATGGGTGGATGGATGAGGGCAGCTTTTTTGGAAATACCCCTTGAAGAGTGAAAGGTTCACACTCAATCCACCCTGGGTGATTTCGTGCCCAACATCCATTCTCCTCGGACATGGTGGACGATGAGTGAACATGACGGACCGTGGGCAAACCGAGGGTCGCAGTGGGGGTTGCTGTTCGGTGCGGCGAGGGGAACCGACCTCGACACGCTGGTGTGGCTCCATTATTTATATATATATATATCCCTCCAAGTCGATGACCTTGTAAAACTTGTCCATTAATAATATGATATCTAGGATGGAACTGTAATCTGGGGAATTTAATCGAGGTGGCTCAAGGGCAAAAGTTGCCATGCAACGGTTGCTGACTAACATCCAGAGATGCTCCAAGTGTGCTGTCAAGATGCAACACCCTTTTTCATCATCTTCTGAAACTTCTTCTCCTTGGCTGATCTCTGTACAGTTTCCGCTATGATCTCATCCAAAGGCCAGTGATAGTAGTATCTGGTCCTTGTGTGGCCAACTCCACTTAAAGTCCCCATTTCCCATGTCAAGTTGCTGGCATTCCCATCTTCTTGGCCAAATCCTCCAGGCGGATCTCCCTGCCCTCATCCACCAGCCGTTGATCATAGAAGTCCTAGCCAGGCTCAGGTGGGTGCTCTCCATGTGAGCACACAAGTCCAACTCCAAAGATCTAGTCAGTGGTCGTGGTTCCTCTATGCAGCTCCAACATCATGTGAGCCACAGTCAAAACATGCAAAGACCACTTTTTTGAAAGAGGGGTAGGTTTGTGCTCACAACCCTGCAAATGGATAAGGTCCAACTCGAAACCGATAACGTCCATTTTTTAGTCGAAGAAGAATCAGGAGTTTTGACGGTCCCTCATGTCAGTTTCCAAATGGCCTCGCCTTCAGCACCTGGACGAGCAGCTCCCGTGGCTTCGAATCCGGCATGGCTTCGAAACCAGACGTGACCCCCGCCCCAGTCGAGTCCTAGGGATGATCGTGCACAAACACTGTTGCCTTGCAATGGTGCTCCCTCATCCAGCTCATCCAGCCAAATGGCCACATCAAGATCGGCTCATGTATGTGGTTCTGCTCAGAAACACCAAAAATGTCCTACTGCGGTTCTTGGCTTAGCCGCTCGCCATCCAGCAGGTTATATTTCCTAGTGACAATCCTACTGCGGTTCTTGGCTTAGCCGCTTGCCATCTAACTGCAACTTCTTGGTTCCTAGCTGCGGTTCTTGGCTTGGCCGCTTGCCATCCAGATTTCCAACCAAACAACCACCAGTTTCCTCTCCAATTCTATTCAAAAAAATTCAACTCATCATCCCATCGCGGTTCTTGGCTTAGCCGCTTGCCATCAAACACCCTGTTCCCACTGCTTGTCCATCCCAGTGTCATCTTCGACGATAGGCTCCCAGGCTTTCCGGTAATGAGCTATTGCTCGCCGCATCCCAACGCACGAGGAGGGAAGTGAGGCATGAATGCATGCAAATGTGTGTTCATGCCCTACAGGTGAAGGGCCTAATGTGACTGGATCCAGTATTCAAAACCAGTACTCCATGAGGTCAAGGACCCATGTCATCTATGTTGAGGCCTCAAATTGGGTCGCCTACAAAAAATTGCTGTAAAATACAAACAACGAGCCTCCATCTGCAGGTGACCCCAGTGGTTCCTAGAGGTGATCCTACTGCGGTTCTTGGCTTAGCCGCTAGCCACCCAGAAGCAACCCTTAATGGTTCCTAGCTGAAATCCTACTGCGGTTCTTGGCTTAGCCGCTTGCCATCCAGACATAACCTCTTGGTTCCTAGAAGACATCCTACTGCGGTTCTTGGCTTAGCCGCTTGCCATCCAGCAGTTACCCATGGTTCTCTACTGCGGTTCTTGGCTTAGCCGCTTGCCATCCAAAATACCAACCAAAAAGGAGCAGGTTTCCTTACATATTTAACTAAATCCACCTCTCAGGAGACAATGAACACAATTCAGGTTTTGATGTGGTCAAGTAAAAGGTGTTCAACGTAAAGTTAATAGTGTTCAATGTCTTCATATTGAGATGGACAAGTTTTACGAGGTCATCGACTTGGAGGGTATATTTTATATATTACCACAACGTTCTTATGCTATATGAAGGTAGCTAATAAGTTATGTGTTGATTTGTTTATTTACGGTGCATATATATAGATTACAAAGGTACTGGGCCTTTGCAGTGGGTCAAGGACGCACGCGGAGTCATCTGACCACGTTAACCTGTTGGCAGTGATGACATCGTTTCGTCGGCGTCGCAGGTTGGAACCCGGAGCTTTCCTCATGTCAAAAGCTGTACAGTGGCTTCAGAGCAGATGGCCCTGGCACCCAAGATGAGGTCCTGATAAAACACCAAACTAGGGTAATTATTGTGCCATCTGCTCTGACGCCATTGTGCCCGATTCTTCCAAAACGAGCACTGAGGAGTGATGGCAAAACGCATCTCAATCGATGCTTGGAGAAGCAAAAGCAGTTGCTTCTGAGAACTATCGCTTCCAAGTTGTTTACTGCCCCCACCACCCTACAACCAGATCTGCTGAGTCCAATCCGCTCTGTGCTTTTGCCTCCCACAAGCATCGGCAACAATGTGTTGAGTGGAATATGGCCCCATGTCAAGGCAATGGTGTAGATTAAACAGTATTAAATCAATGCCGGAAGCCAAACGGGTTATATGTTGACATAAGAAGACCTCCAGCCGGTTTTAGTCAATGTTTCTTCCCATGCAAGGGTTTTTTCTGTTGGGGCCTCCCTCCCTAGGGATCCAAGTACCTTCTCACAAGGTACTTGGACCCTCCAAACCTACATAACAGCGCCTCTAATCACCTTCTGAGAAGGTACTTGGATCTTTAGGGCCTATTCATTCGAATACGCCCGTTTCATGATTCTTTCTCAGACAAGGCTGAGGTGGCCATGCTCCTTGCTGTTCCTAGTCCAGGAAAGTTGAGACACTCTGGGAGGCCCTCCGTACTACTCTGTACTACCTGGTTATTGGGCAGAGAGAAACCCCATGAAGATGACGAGATTAGAGTGAATAAAACTGGCGTAGCTATTGTTAAGTCAAGTGAATCATGGAATTCATTGTTATCTCAACATCCTGCCAAAGAACCGTGCGTTCAACAGCGAGTCCCGCCCGAAAACCGCCCGGATCTGCGTTTTTGTTAAGGATACTTCACTCCGGGAGCTTCCCAGATGCTTCCCTCGAAGCGGCCTCCACCTCCGGGAGCGACCTCTACTCCGGCCAAAGCGCTGCGGACGGAGGGAGGAAAGCGGATTGATGCGACCTTCGTGACTCGGGAGATCCCTGCCAGGGGGGTGAGCACTTCATTTTCAGACAAGCCAGTGCTAGGTGCCGGTGCTTATACATATATAGCCAAGCCCCGGGGCTATTGTTCACATCTTTTTGGCATAGTTTTGTTCCTTTTTCAGGTACGGCGAGCAGCGCATGTGGAAGGCTTGTTGAAGGAGCACGAGATCCTGACCATCGTGGAATTGGTCCGAGCTCCTGACTTGATTTGGACATCTCTTCTGCCAAAGGTCGGGAACTTGCTGCCCTTTCTTACAGAATGGGCTACCATGGATGTCAACCCACCATGCTTGCTTGTTTGTGCACTTGGTCGTGACATGAACTTTGGGGCACACTCGGTTGACCGGAGCTTCCATGCAATCGTGGTTTGGAACATGATGTCTCAATCCCATGCTTAAGGATTGAGAACGCCGAAAGGTTGACTGACACATTACGGAGCTGGTGCGGCTACAGGGCCAGTGTCGGTTAATTCACACCTGTGTATGTGATCGTCATCGGAATGCAACACCTTTTTTTCTGTGCACCTATGCATCGGAATGATGGTCCTGCCACTTGCCTCAGATCTCACGTGTATCACATGATTTTAGATTCTTATCCTAATCTTATCCGGTATTTCTTTTCATGGTCCGGACCTTCATTGAAACACACCGTTTTGCCCATGTCATCGTCTAGACTCTAGACAATGGACAATTCGTATGCTGAGGAGTGGCGGCTGAGGATGAGGCACTGGGAAACATGGACCGGAAGACAGCCAGCAAGTTGTTCTTCCATTTGAGTGAGACCAATGGACAGCCCCTCGGCAGATGGTTGACCTCGGTCGGACCCAGGAACGGATGAGACGCCAGACCGATATGTCGGAAGCCGAGGGAGGACTGAGGAGAGCTCAATTCGGCTCAATTGACTCTGAAGGACCATGGAATTGGCTACACCCATGATCAACGATCAATTCCATGGAATTCAGGAGGACCATGGAATTCGGCTCAAAAAACGGCTCAATTGGCTACATCCCTGCGTTTCAACAAACATGACCATCTTCGGACCGCAGCTCCGGTCCTTCGGGACTGCGTGGAGATGTGGAGCTGCAGGTGGGACGATGGACCTCGGTCCATCCCACAGTCAAATGGACGGGACGGGACCGCGTGCTTCAGGGGGCACACACCGAACGACCAAAATTAACAGCATTAAAAAACAGTGGAACCTTTGATTGCTTGCAGCATGGATGACGTTGGAGGACCATTTTTCCACGGGCAAAGGTTCGATGTTCCTTTGTTCTGAAGGGTCGGTTTCAAGGAGTTTCGAACTTCAATCTGAGGCAAGTGGGTTTGAGCCTGGATGCGGGCAACAAGGTCCGCTTTGTTTATTGGAAACCCAAGCTCACCTTGGAGCAGGCCACGAAAAGGTCTCATGGCAGCAGAGTTTAGAGCCAGATGGATGGCAGAACGACGGCAAGCTAGGTAGGTTTGCAAATGTAAAAATGACGCTGCAGATGTGGCAACTGTTCCTGTTTTTGCAAAAGCTGCCAGCTAGAATACGAGGGCCGACGTAGGAATAACACGGAGATCAGGGAGAAGAGGAAGGCATTTGGGGAATGAGAAAGGAACGTGAACGATGGACATGTCCTTGTTCCGGTTCAACTTTTTGAGGTGGGAATGATTTTTCAACAAAGGGTTTGGCTATCGTCTTATGAGATTCACAACCGGAATTTTATCGGCGAGGAGTGACTCTGCGAAGTTGACATCTACCCAAAGATGTCCAAAGTATATATGAAACTGCCAGATTGCCCCTGGATGACTGTTTAAACTGTTTAACTACCAGGTTTGTTTGAGGGAGAGAAATCAGGGGATCTTTACTTGGAGATCTGGGCAATCAGTCAAGCTTGTCCTCCAAAGACTTCCAAACCTGACCAGCCTGCTCGATCTTCGGTTGTGACATCTTGTGACAATGGTGGTTTATCCCCTTCACATCCAGTGGAAGCAACCCACATCCACCACGGCCCAGTCTTCGATGCTACCGGCCACTCAGAGGGGCGCTTTTGAACGTGAACGCGCGAACGTGCGCGTTTGCGCGGATCGTCGGAGGCATGATGATGCAGTCAAGGCCATTGAGCACTTGCGTTTCCAGAAGCTCCGGACGTCTCAGCCGCTTGGAGAGTTTGGAGACGTGGACAACTGCCACTGGACGACGTGCCATGGTGTGGCTGGCACAGTGGGCTGTCCCTGTTTGGATGATTTGCGCTCCAAAAAAGGTACTTGAGAAATCTCAAGAAGAGCTTAGAGCATTAGCATAGACTGGAAGTAGCATTGCCACAAGACCATGGAGACGAATCTGAACGGAAGGAACTTGATGGAGAAGAAGCCCAGTTCCGGTGGGCTGATACTATGACAGGTTGTCACAGGTGTTCAGGCAGTTTTTGGGAAGGTCGCCCAGTTCCGGTCCCCTTTTGCGGTTTTTTCTCGCGTCTCGTCTCAGACGTAGGTCCAAACCTCCAGAAACCACCATGGCACAGTAACTGACACGGCCCACAGCACTTTGGACTTATATAGCCCCATGAAGAGTTGAAATATCCACCTCTTCCTCGGAGCAGGTTCCTCTACAACCCATGAAGGTCCTGGGGAGTCCAATCGAGTCCATGTGAATCTGCCGGAGGGCAAGGAGTTTGGAAACAGCTTGGTCCATCACACTCATCGATAGGACCAACTCCACTCGTGTGGAGAGGCCCGGAGTCCGCATTCTTGACTCATTACATGGGACCCCACATGCATCCACATGCCACATCCCGACCCCTCCGAGGCTGGCGATTGCCAACGAGCCGCACCTGAAAGAGCAGGCCCTGGCCTTGACTCCTGCTAGCCGCCAGAAGTTGCAGGCACAGGCGAAGCGCCGCTGCTTGCCAGAGAGCGTCCACGCGCAGACGGTGCGGCGAAGCTCGGACCGGAAGGGGGGGGCTGGCGGAGAACATTTGGAGGAAGAAGGCTTGATAGACACGGCAAACAGTAAAAAGAAGATTGTATTAGTATACATCCTCAGATGTTCAATTGTATTGACATTGGTCTACCGAGCCACTCACTTGACACAGAACAGCGCACAAATTGGTACCACCCTGAAATAGATACATCGACCTAGAAATGGCTACAGCTTAGTGCTAATTAATACCGCAAGTCGAAAAAAGGGAGGCGCTTTTTCCTCCAGCCTTGAACAAAAGGGGCTCAGTCGACCCTTCAGATTCGAACCTTCAAACTTGGTACACTTCTCGATTTCCGTGCACCTCAACCCTTCTAAAAGCTTGGTACACTTCTCATTTTTGTGCACCTGGACTCCCCCTCCGCTCATCGAGCGGATCATGGGTGCCCTGCTCTTTTACAAAACTCGGTCTTTCGACCTCTCTTCCTGGAAAAAAGATCCTTTCGATCTCAGCTCAAGCCCCTCAGACTCGGCGTGCGGAAGAGGGTGTAGCCGACCCAGGTGTCCGGCATGTAGGTGCTCCTCTTCCCCTGCCTGCGGTCCACCAAGATATGCTTCTCCTTCTTGATGGTCCCCCAGGCGATGGTCAGCCTCCACGGCAGCCATTCCCTCTCATCCCACAGATGGGGATTCTCAAAGTCGAACAGCTTTTTCCTCTCCTGTACGTGCTCACGGATCGTCACCTTCCCGCCGTCAGGCAGGTCCTCGATCGTCAGCCAGGTGTCCTTCGCCGCAGTTCTCTTTGGCGGTAGGCCCATCTTCCTCCTCAGTGCGGCAGTGAAGAAGCCCGGCTGGAATGACACGTCCTGCAGGAAGTCGAACACCTCCTCCTTCCACAGTGTCCACTTCCCAAGAGTAATCCCATCACCGACTGGTGAGATGAAGTTCAAAGCCTCACTCCGCATGCCGATGTTCTGGCCGGTGGTGGCTGTCTCCTCTGACCTCCCACTCCCAGCTGCTGCACTGCGCCCAGTCGTCTCCTTCTCTTCCGTCTCAATCGCCGCCACGCCCGGTGCCCTGCGGGATGCCGATGATGAAGTTCCCTTCTCAGCTCCTGCCTCAAGTCGTGACCCCTCCGGTTGACTTGTTCGTCCCGAACGATGCTCGTTGTAGATCACATGGGTGCCCTCCGAGTCGATCCTGATCCAGGTTCCGAAGTTTCTCCTTGGACCTCGTCTCTGCATCATCCTGTCCCAAGCTGCTGGGCCTAGACCCAACTCAGCTCTCCTGGCCGTCTCGGCCTCATAGTCATATAGGCTCCACGATGCCAAAGATCTGGATCGTGCAGGTACATCTGGCGGAGCCACAGGATGGTGTCGTCCTCGACCTGCTTCTTCAGCACTGGATCCAAGTGTGGCAGTCCGAACCTGAACGGACCCTCCCTCTCTCTCAGTGGCGGTGGTCCTGGCTGACGAAATCGGAGTCTCGACATCGTCCGACATGGCGGTCCTCCCAGGAGTGCCCTCAATCTCCCGGAATCGGCAATGTCCAGGAGGTAGGAGTAGACCTCACTCTTCAAGAGGTTCATCCGCTCATCGTCGAAGTCCAACCTTCGTCCACTCCGGAAACTCAGGGACCTCTGCCATCACATTCTCCTTAGCCTTCCGAATCTCCTCCGGCGACTTCGGGGGTGGTCCCGCTGGTGGGCTCGGCGGAGGGGTTCCCTTTGGAGGAGCCGGAACAGAGCCCTCCTTGAAATCCCTTGCCACCTTCACCTTCTCGGTGTCCTCAATCCGCTTCCGAAGTTCTGCCAGCTCCTTCTTGAGCATCGAATTCTGGGACATGACCATCTTCATGACGTCCCTCAGGTCCACACCCACCTCGTCCTCTCCAAGGTTCCCGGCGGCCATGGATGTAGATGAAGTTGTAGGCAATGATGCCGGTCTCATAGCCCTCAACATGGCCTCGTCCTTCATGGACTGACTCCAAAAAGGGTTCACCTCCACCGGCTTGGGTCCACCCTGACCCTTACCATCCCTCTTCCTCGAGTCTCCAGACCTGGCCTGGCCGTAGACCGTGGGATCACCTCTGGGATGGGCATCTCGGACCACCAGCTCCAACCCCAGGCTCGTGGTCGGCTGGTCCTCCAGCGCCAGCAGTCCTTCCTCCTTCGCGGAGGTCATCGACCCCTCGTCAGGGGTAGAGCCGGCGCCGCTCCCCATGGGAGCCAACGACTTGGTCGCTCACCCAGCGATCCAAGGTGGACTTTCTAGTGGGTTGGGCTCATAACCCGCAAGTCGAAAAAAGGGAGGCGCTTTTTCCTCCAGCCTTGAACAA